AAAAGGAAAGGGTTTTTGGCTACCTCACAGATTGTCTGAAAATATTTAGAAAATTTGAGAAGTTTCGTTTTAAGGCTAATTTTATCATGTTTTATTTATTATATAGAATGCATTTGTGTTCAAGATGTAATAATAAGGGTTTCGCAGGTCCATGCATGTCATTTACAATTTGGAGAAATCCTGAAAATGCTTATTTTTCTTTTTTTATATGAAATATCAGCGCCAGGAAAATCTGCCTCAATTATCTGCCGAAACACATTCCACTGGGTGTAAATGGCATGACAGTGGGGAAAATGATGCAAATGAATCTCTGAAAATCAGTGATGACATCATTTGAAAGGTGTGTGTTGGAATGCATCATGTTTGTCTAAACCAACATACAATTTACCTGATGTCAAAACAGATTGTGGTAGTACCTGGCACAGATTAAACCATGGTATATTGTGGTAGTACCTGGCACAGATTAAACCATGGTATATTGTGGTAGTACCTGGCACAGATTAAACCATGGTATATTGTGGTAGTACTTGGTGCAGATTAAACCATGATAGATTGTGGTAGTACTTTGTGCAGATTAAACCATGGTAGATTGTGGTAGTACTTGGTGCAGATTAAACCATGGTAGATTGTGGAAGTACTTGGTGCAGATTAAACCAAGAAAGACAATGGTTGATGGTAGTAAAATATTGGCAATGGTTGATGGTAGTAAAATATAGGCAATGGTTGATGGTAGTCAAATATAGGCAATGGTTGATGGTAGTTAGAGATAGACAATGATTGATGGTAGTAAAATATAGGCAATGGTAGTAAAAGATAGACAATTGTTGATGGTAGTAAAATATAGGCAATGGTTGATGGTAGTAAAAGATAGACAATGGTTGATGGTAGTAAAATGTAGGCAATGGTTGATGGTAGTAAAATATAGGCAATGGTTGATTGTAGTAAAATATAGGCAATGGTTGATGGTAGTAAAATATAGGCAATGGTTGATTGTAGTAAAATATAGGCAATGGTTGATGGTAGTAAAAGATAGACAATGGTTGATGGTAGTAAAATGTAGGCAATGGTTGATGGTAGTAAAAGATAGACAATGGTTGATGGTAGTAAAATGTAGTCAATGGTTGATGGTAGTAAAAGATAAGCAATGGTTGATGGTAGTAAAAGATAGACAATGGTAGAACATGGGGTAGAACCTATTGTAACAGGGTAAATGATAGAACAGCCAGGAAGAATTAAGGGCTTGTTTTCATCCATGTTAAGGAATTAATCTACCATTTATATTTCATATAAGTATTTAAGGGCAAGAGACCATGCACCGACTTCACTAGACACGGCCCTCAATATCTGTCAGTCAACAGGTTTGAGTGATAGGCCAATCAGCCGAATGTGAAGCAAATTACAAGAAAACGGAAAAAGTTTAATCTACCAATAAATGATTTATGTTTGCTGCGTAGCATGCATATGCTGCTTGTTAGATTAGCTCAATGAGGCAAAAGAAGCTCTTCTGTCTTGGAGGTGTTTTCAGATGTGTTTACTTGATGTGGGTGTTGAAATGAGAAACTGCAATTGATCAACTGTGGATATGATGAGTGTACAGAATCAGGGCTAGTAATATATACAATATGTTGGCCCAAAGGGATACTGCTTTAGATTAGGAGATACGGTGTATGAGATTTAGTTTCTGTCATATTCTTTTCATTTGAACCCTGTTCACAGTGTTATCATCCTTAGTGGGGTATGATTAATATGAAAATCTTGTTCCAATATCATTCAGTGGAAGTATTTTAGTAGGATGCCTCCTTATCTGTAATGAAAGTATTTATCTTTTTTTGTGCATTTTCTTTTCATTTCATTTTTATTCTGTCAAATAATATTTAAATAAATATCCACTTGTTAATCATTGATGCAAAAAACATTTTACTGTGGAGCATACAGGGAATTTTATTTTATTTCTAATAAATATGATTTCTATTTTTTAATATTTTTTTGAACATTTACTACACTAAGGATAGAGTTCTTCATCTTTAAGACTGTGGGTGGAATGTTGCATTACTACAACACTATATGCTAACTCACTCAATCACTCATCTACATGAGAACAGTTGCAATATGTTGATGCGAAACTGTTTGCTTGAATGTTTAAAAGTTTGCACATACATGTATATGCATTAACCGCTGTAACATCCTTGTAGAACTATATGATGTCAAACAACAACACACAGTGCAGTGAATCCATAGGCAAGACCTTTGGTGCCACACAGTCACTTTATGGCATAAGGACCGCCTCCGTGGTCTAGTGGTAGAGTGTCTGCCAGGAGAGCGGAAGGTTCAATCCCCGGCCGCGTCGTACCAAAAGACGTTAAAAGATGGTAATTGTTGTTACCCTGTCTGGCGCTCGGCATAAAGGGGCTTAAACAAGGACTGGTCAGCTCAGAGTCAGTATACTGTGTCTGAGTGGGGTATTCATGTTAAACTGTGGCATGGCATCTCAGTGAGCTAGCACTTTCAATCGGCATTAGTCCGGACTAGTACAAGCAGCCACACAAACACACACACGTACATGCACGTCGCTATATAAGTGCAGTAATCGTGGATGCTACGTTAAACCCAATTTCACCTCACCTTTTAGCATAAGTAGTAATCTAGTATTTTGTTTCTGGTGTTTGGGTTTGCAAAGTAGACACAATTTATGGATAACACCTTCTTTAATTACTGTAAAGGCGACATTTTGGTACATATCTATACCGTAACATCACCTTTACAGTAAGTAAAGAAGTTTTTTATCCATAAATTGTGTCTGCTGTGTCATCCGTCAACTTCTAAGTAATGCCTGTCAAACAATTCTTTGGGTTTGCCTAAAATGACATGTACATGTAGCATGGTTCAGGGGGGAAACAAGCTCACTTGCTTGATGTATTCTGGATGCAAAATGTACTTGTCTCCAGTATTTTGTAGCAATTCATAAAAGTTCAGTAGAGTGACGTCTGAACTGCACTCGACAAGCCCACAAGGCCTTATAATCTTCTTCTGACACACTACCTGCATAGACACGAGAGGCATCTTGCGTCATGTGCTGTTTGTACATTCGATTGGGGGGAAAGCAGGTCAAAGTTAAATCCTGGTTAAAAATCAGGAAAATAATGCTGGAAGGGGCGAAAATGAAAAATCCCTGTCTGTGATGATGTGGCATGACTGATGTGTCATTGATGTCTATTCTGCATCATGTCAGTGATAGACGGACATTTTGTATGTTGTTGGTACACACGACACATCACAGTTATTATACACACAGACATACTTCACAGGCTGTTGTAAGAGGCGACTAATGGTATCGGGTGGTCAGGCTCGCTGACTTGGTTGATGCACGTCATTGTATCCCAATTGTTTTGATCAAAGCTCATGATGTCAATCACTGGAATGTTTGGTCCAGACTTGATTATTTACAGATCACTGTCATATAGCTGGAATATTGCTGAGTGCAAACAAACCAAACTTACTAGGCTGTTGTCATGTTAACCTTTACTAACAGGTTATTGCTCTGTTTATTAAAAGAATAAGAAATTAAGTAGGTATTGAGATAAGAGTTGCAAGATTAAACTGCCAGTTTGTTTGTCAACTAGGGATGCACAGATGCATACATTCTGATTGGATTGAAAAATATAAATAAATTTATTTTTGAAATAATGTTTTTAAAATGTACATTGGATTCATTCTGAAGGTGAAATTAATGTACATAAACTCCCAGTCCCAGTGATTTGATTTAAGAATAAAAAAGTTATATTCCAAAGAAATTGTCAAAAGGTTTACATTTAATACATTTGTGGGGATGAAATACATATAATCTCCCCGTATTTTTTTTTTTTGGCAGTAAGATATGTTGGATATGTTATGAAAAAAAAACTTGTTTTCCAAGAAATTTGATTTGATAGTAGTATAGCATTATTTCCTGAAAGGTTTACAAAAGGCTGCAATGAAACCAGTTGTAAATGTGAGGTTCGTTTAAACTTTAATTAAGGATTAATTATTCTAATTTCCTTTTGCCTTGGGTCCTTCCCAGTCTTGCTGTAACTTAACATTCATTTTTAATTGTCTAACCATCTTTGAACATTTCTGGCAAGAAAAATATATTATGTTTCCGCTTACAATCTGTTTTGATGATTGGCTGGGTTTTTTCTTGAAAACTTAAACAGATGTTTAATGAGTGTCACAGTTTGAAAACAGCTCAAGAGCAAAATAACAGATAAGATGCACTTCATCTTCCATTCAAACATTTCTGTTGTAAACTCTACAGGCACGTCTGTCCAGCGCTAACAAATAGACTCTCAGCTCTCAAGTGTTGAATAATTTGAGTAATTTGAAGTTTTGGTCTCAGCTTCCAACGTTGAACCTCACTGTTTGTCACAAAACATTAATTGTTAGAATAATTTCCAGCATACTTTTTTTCGGAGGAAACTGATTAGAATATTGGTGGAATTTTTTTTAACTTTACAACGTTTGGACAAGTTCTCATATGGTGTAAGCAGGACAACTCATTTCTGTTGACTAATTTTTAAAATCGATAATGTTAGCCTGATAACTATTTACATACAATTGGCTTTGAAGCTGAAGACTAAGGGGAGATTTTATCAATCACTGTCTATCTTAAAAGTGATTCAATGGATCTGGTAGTCTGATTCTGTGACTAAGTTAATTTGCTTATAGTGTATTGCTGGATTGTTCTAGGCGTAAAACCATACTCACTCACTCACTAATTCAATCTTTGCTCATAATATCAATCATAGCTTGAATTATTTCCATTCCAGTCAGCTGTTATATTGCTAGGTGTTGAGTTAAACGACAAACAAAACAAACAGGAAAGTTAACTGAACACAACTCCAAGATAATATCTCTGAGCTGAAAAAGAAGTGAATGCTGTCGATTACTTGTCATGTGCTAGTACCTTGATGACTACTTCAGTGTTGTAATAACATCCTAACAACTACTTCTCTGTTCTGTTACAGCACCTACAGAACCCAGGCGGCTTCCAGAACGCAGCACGGGAGCTGTTGGAATGGTGCTCTGATACCCGGGCCTTCCAGCATCAGTTTGAAGATGCTCTTATGAACTGTCTGACAGTATGTACACTCTTTTTCATAGTCAAAATGTTCCTTGTTTCTATGCATACTGAATAAATTGAATTTTGTGAATATTAGATTGACCCGAAATTTGAATATATATTTTTTATCTGAACAAAGATAGCATTGGATAGCATCTAAAATATCGTCTCAAATTGAGAATTATTTATTTAATGTACAAAAATTATTTTTTAAATTTAAATAACAATTATTCCCTCACAATTGTGACAGTGTTTCATTTCATTCACTGCTGTCATCTCCTTGTTAAGCCTGGGTATGTTGCAGAATATGATTTGTTCAGTATAAGCATCAGTAGATACATGGACACATGATACTGAGCGTCCATGGTAGATGTCATACCATCTAGATCATGAATGTTGCCAAGTGTTGCAGACCATCACAGACTGTGTACCTGCAGAAGCTTCTATGCCAGTTATTTTTACAGTTTTCCGTTTTCCTTGGCTAATCTTTTCCCCAGGTCCTATGGGTATCCTGGGGAAGGTCAGGTCCCCAAGACCCCATGTTTGTCTCTCTATTGGGAATCGAGGAAGAATAGGTCCCCAGTATCCCATGCTTGTCTCCCTATGGGGATCCTGGAAAGAACAGGTCCCAAATATTCCATGCTTGTCTCCCTTTGGGGATCGTGGGAAGAACAGGTCCCCAGTATGTCGTAAGAACTAACTAAAGAGAACCATGTGGCCCAGCTCTGTGACTTGGTTGATTAAATGTTATCTTGCACTGATGGCATGAATTGAGGTTTATGCTTTCAGTCATACGTTTGTCTGGTCCAGACTCGACATTCCTCTGGCCACCATGATATAGCAGGATTATTGTCGACCTCTGCATTTATCAAGTCACACACTTTCATGCTTTTCCTCAAAGACATCGCACCATTATACATCAACCTCATATTATCAATATTTTTCCACAACTCGCATCTTGCAGCAGTTGAATAACATGGTAATGTGCAGTAATGTATTTGACGCTGTAAATACCCTGACATGTATGAATATTCATATGAACACAATATATATGCTGTGTCTCTGTGCTGGCAGCTCTCCTGTGATCAGTTCAAATATATGTATGTATGTTTTCTTCAATCTTGTCAATGACAAATAAGAAGCAACAAGACACATCCCAATGAACTGAATAAGTCCACAACTAGACCCCGGATCAGGCGGAATTTGTGGTCAACGCGGGATAGCTTTGCAGTAAATAAATATCAACCTCGGTCTAATTTTGTGAAGTAAACGTAATAGTGTGATCGGTTTTTATGCGCACTGTTGGTTTTGGTTAGAAATCGGACTTCTTGTCAGTCATATTGAAAGATGGCAGACTCACTCCAGAATGACACTGTAAGCTGGAAGAGCAAGGTCTAGATAGGTCCTTTACTCAGCCTAATTTTCTCCGGAATATCTCGCAGAGAATTAAAAAATTGTGTTAGCATGGTCAGGATCCTCTCAGATTGTAGACTTGTTAGAAACTTGTGACGATATTACATTATCATTGATTTCTCGGAAGTACAGAGACAATTTACATTGGAGCATTACGCCTTACGTCAATGAGATGCATTTGGAATGCAAAAAAAGAAGATAGAATAAGTGTATTAGGCCTAACATGTTTGAGAAACAAGGCAAGTTTTCTGCAGATACACCAGCTCGATTCATGAATATTTTAGATGCTTTAGATCATATCGGACAAATCTTTTGATGAAAAAATGCTGGCCAAATGTTTTTCATCATTATAAAATGAATACAACTAGCTGGATTGTGTTTGATGTAACAGTGCTTGACCTTGGATGAGGATGAATTTATTCATCAGCATCCGTATCAATTTGAGATTGATCAGATCTGTGTGATTGGCCTAGATTGGGGTTGTGACAAGCTCTGGGAGTCATGTCAATTATGGCATTGATGATAACAAAATGATTTTCTCAATTAGAGAGTTGTGGATGTTGATTATGTCAAAAATGGTTTCAGATAGACTTGTCAATTTCACTGTCATTTTTGTCAGCTGAAATATTGACATTGTTTTGTAGTGTGTTCAATGGCATAGTTTGCTGTCTCATTGTTCATGTCTTAGACAAACATTTTTATGCATAATTTAGAAATATTGGAATTCAATATTCCGTCTTTTGAATCGTATGAGAAGTACAAATGTAAATATTAATTTATAAGTGAAATTTTTGAAATTATTTAATAAGCTGGAAAATTATGATTAATTTGTATTTAATAAATGATGAAAATGAAATGGTGATATACATTTATGTAAGGTAAATGTTTCATATTTTCTCATTTAAATGTCTGTGTATGCACCAGAGATTGTGAATTCGATATGGAATCCAGTGCACTGCGTGTACCTCAATTGTCAATAGTCATCCCCGACAGCTGGCGTTCAACTTGCGAAACAAAAACGATTGCTTTCCATGTCAACTAAACTCGAGGAATAAATATCTTAGTACATACACCCTTGAGACTAGTCATGTACAGGTTTTGTGTTGTGGGATGCAGGGCATCCTGGTGCTGATTTAGTTGAATGATTGACAGATGTGTGTAAAATGAAATGTAAATATGTGGATAGCAATTTGTCCATTTCTTACTCGATTTTTTCCAACATTATATATCAATCTTGCTTAAATTAACATTAGCTGTCTATGGTGAGTACATGAATTGGTAATTAATATGATAAACATTGCGAACGATATTCATTTATGAGTTAAATCTAGCTTACTTTATGACTCTGTTTTGACGCCCTGGGAATGAAATGTTTTCTCTGTGTGTGATACACACTCATTTACCCCTCAAGCATCATATTATCAACAAATTTGTCTGCTTTTTAATTTTTATGATTAGAAACACTGTCTGTTTTTGTGTCACTCAGATTTATGTTTGTAACTTAAGAGACTATGTTTTGCATTAAATGTCAGAATCGGTGCAATTGCTGGGATATCACCTAAAACATGTATTTATGACAGCAAACATGTGCCACAACTTGTTTCTTCATGCTGTGGTCAGCCTTTAGAAAAGTTGTGTTTTTATTTGTTGAACTGAACCGTCGACCCTATTTTTTCATTATAAATTGAGAAATCTATATTTGTACTCTTTTTTTTTTTACTTTTCCCCAGCAACATATCACAGAAAATATATTTTGTGATTACTCAGGATTAAAACAACATTAATGCAATGCTAATACAAAGTTGACATTCTCGACCATTTGTAGATGATTTGATACATAATAAATCTAGAATTCTTTTCCTTGTCCTTGGTAGACAGACTTTTTCGAAATTAACTTCCTTTGTCTCCCAACAAAAGCTGACACTCTGCACGCCAAAGAATTAAACAGACAAAGACACCTAGTTTTAGACCAACGTCATTTTTGTTATAAAAAGAAAACCCTCTTACAACTTCTGATGTTAGCAGAAAATAACTGTGATCAACAGATAAAATCATAATGGTGTATGTTAGTCAAGTATTCCTTCGTATACTGAAGAACTGGGTTTGATTCCCCAATGGGTACAATGTGTGGCCATTTTTGATACCAAGAATTGGATGGAATATCACAAAAAGCAAAGTTAAAAAAACTATGTATGCTCAGGTCCCCAGGAACCTATGTTTGTCAGAAGAGGCAACTGATTGTTTCGGGTGTTCAGGGCTCAATACTTTGGATGATTGCTTGTCATCCTGACCAAATGAACGAGATGTTGTTCTTAATATCAATCATTGGTTTGTCTAGTCAAGATTCCTCTACAGGCCGCCGTCATGTAGCTAGAACATTGTTGAGTGTGACTTTAAGCAAAAAACGCTAATTTATTCGATGCTTCAAGATAAGATTTAGCTTTGATTTGATATATTCATAATTGTATTGTCTGAACACAATATTCTCTTCGCAAATTTTTTATGTCACAGAAATTAAATTATACGATCTTAATCATATCAACTTTCATGGCAGAATGGAAATATATTTGAAGTCATCAAGAGAAATCTTGAAATCTGAATTATATTAATTGGTTTTTTTTATCCAGTTTCCAAGAAATGAGACTTTCCTAAGGGCTATTGTGTCTGAAATAAGAGATATTCCAGACTTACTCCTTGTGAATCTCAAACAGTGGAAATTAAAGATGCCATATTTCATACATTGTACCACAATAACCACTAAGTAAAAGCTTGGAGGAACAAGTTGCCTACAAGACTGAAGGCTTGGTACACTAGGGTAACACTCTTGTGATGACCAAGGGTAACACTCTTGTGATGACCAAGGGTAACATTCTTGTAATGACCAGTCAAGGGTAACACTCTTGAAATGACCAATCAAAGGTAACACTCTTGTAATGACCAAGGGTAACATTCTTGTAATGACCAAGGGTAACATTCTTGTAATGACCAGTCAAGGTTAACACTCTTGAAATGACCAATCAAAGGTAACACTCTTGTAATGACCAAGGGTAACATTCTTGTAATGACCAAGGGTAACATTCTTGTAATGACCAATGATGGGTAACATTTTTGTTGATCATCTTAGCGTTAAGATCACTTTCAGGTCTGTAGCTACATTATTCATGAAATACCATGCTCAACATATCTGGCCCAATTAAATTGAAATTAGAATTTCCAAACATGATATTTTTACAGAAAAATGTGCAATTTTTAGATACGTGTCACTGAAAATGTAACCATGTCATTCTAAGACCCCATGTTCAAATTGAAAATTGTCATATCACAGTTATAGTGTCTAGCCAGTCAATAGTTGGTGAGCAGGGTCATTATTTGTTATAAATGATGTACCATGAACTGTGACGATTGTTAAACCAAACTGAAGGTCATCATCAGTAATAGCATTGGTGCATTTCATGATCTGAATCTGTGCAACACAGATGTCGTGATAGATTTCAGTCCATGACCTTGTCAAGTTCATGATCAAGTGCTGCATCTATACCTGTGAACATCTGGGGTAGAATAGGTCTTCAGCAACCCATGCTTGCCGTAAAAAGCGACTCTGCTTGT